ATAAATGCTGTGTTTGACTTTCGGGTGGCATTTTATTATTAAAAATTAAATTTTGTTAATAATAAATGCCGTGTCTGACTTTTGGGCGGCATTTTATTATTAAAAATTAAATTTTTTTAATAATAAATGCCGCGTCCAACTTCAGGGCGGCATTTTTTATTTTAAATTCAATAAATCGGATCTGAATCCAAATCTGAATCCGTCGGATTGAATCGGATTTTTTGAGGAATACTAGTTGATATAATTTTTATATGGTCGATGTATAGTATAAAAAAAATAGAAAAAAAAGTAAAGGGTTCAGAAACTTATAGGGTTCATAGAGTTGATAAGGACAGATACTAAAAATGCCTTTTCAGAGTTCTGAAATTGCCAGTTTGCTATACTAACAGTGTTCTTGTTAAGTTTTTTTGCCATTTCTATAAATTTTTCATAAGACAAAATTTTTGATAAGTCATTAGGGCCAACTTATAGCATTAGGCATTTTCATTCTATCAAGAGCCTGACTCATTTTCTCTGGGTCTGACAGTTCTGAAACATCTTATCCAACTTTTTTTGATAATAATATACGTTTGAGTAATACTTTTTTACATGCCAATCACAAAATCCATATTCAGAAGCTATCGGACTTCACATCTATCTTGTTTACATAGAGGTCACTGGCATCTTTTTCGATGAATACAACATCCTTCTGGTTTTCTACTTCTCACCTACAAACCTTTCCTTTATTAGAATAATACTGGCAAATATATTTACCGCTCATTGATATTATTCTTAGATAAATAACAATTTGATATTTATAATTATTTATTTTTATTTTAAACTTTTTTATTAGGGTATTATACTGAAACGGTATATTAAATAATATATCCAAAAATTTTTACTATGACACAATCTGAGCTTTCAGAGTTCCTTAATGCTCCCGCCTACTTTTTTACCCAAAGGCTGAAAAAGATAAAATGGAAGGTCAACTGATTCACTATTCTGATGAAAAAAACTTGTCAGACATCTAAATACTAGATGATATAGTTGCAGGAAATAATAAGGAATTATCTTCAATTCTCGAAGATGCTTTATCTAAACGACAAGATATTCCATTCATAGTTATTGATAATGAAGGATCAACAGAAAGGATAAATAGAATGTACTATTATATATTGTGTATTTATGGTCGCCTTATTAATAGTCAAAAGGCATTGGTAACTCTTATAGATATTTAAGTTTTCTTTGACATTCTTGTATCAGATGGAAAGACTTCAGATGAATGTGAAGAAAAAGTGAGCGAAATTCTCTCTGGCATTGTGAAATCATATAAAATGGAACACATTAAAGCATTCTCTTTCTGTAAATACTATATGAAAAAAAACCATATTTACGAATTTATACGAATGGTACTAGGGGGAGAAAAAAGTCATCTAAGCTATTTAAAAAATAATTTTGAAACTGCTTCAGATGATTTATACTCATTCCAATAAAAGGTAACTCGAGTAAATAGAATCCAACTCTCTGGATGGTTCACAATAAATAAATATATATGCAAGAAAGGCAAGTAGATCAGCCTGCTCTATCCACATGAATTCTATATACAGTGAACTCTTGATATAACGAATTCTAGGATCTGGATATCAACTTTGTTATAAGCTTATAACGAATTTTT